GTCATATGCTCCTACCGCCCTTACCACAATTAATGATCTTTACCGAGACGTACCCAGCGAACAAACACTAACGTCGTATCGACACTCGGGCGGATACGTTCGGACGGGAATAGGCTCGGAGTAATTGTTTCGCGTCCACATCAGAGCGTGATTACTACGCAGCAGAGCGGTCGACTGCTCTGAAAAGAAAGGTCGCGAATGGGGCCGGAAATTGTGCGTGCGGCTCCGAAATTGCACGCGATCATGCGTGACGATGCGGCGCGCGCGCGCGCGCGCGAGTGTGTGCGGCGATCGGATCGACTGCGATAGCCCGGCGCGAGTCTCGTTTTAAGGTTTGCCGAGAGCCTCGAACTGGGTCAAAAGGCAGAGCCTGCGACTGCCCGCCAACCTACTTGGAACACGCCCGAGCGGAATCGCGGAATATTCTCTCGCGCTCCTCGCGTTCCGGGCGCAGCGCGTGGAGAACATCGATCTGCTCCGAGGGCTGCCTTCGCTCTTGCGTGAAACGTTTGCTTGCACTCTCGCACGCGCCTCGACGTCGCGCGTTTACTGTCGGAACGTAATCTTCCAAGAATCTGCTGAGATGCACAGAAAGAGAATAAGTGTCAGATCAACTCTTATACGCTGAAATTAACGCGTTCATTGTTCTGCATGTACGCGACGATCTATAATCTTCTTGGAAGCATTTAATAATCTTACATTCCCACGATGTTACGGTCTTATTTAAATACTACGATTGTCGCTTCAAGAATACATATAATTATTTTCATCATTATAATCTTCAACTTGAAAATACGTTACTTTCTGTACAATATTGTTTCCTTTCCTTTCAAGAAAATTATTCTTGAATAATGAGCACATATTTTTCTTGATTAAATTATATGAAATTGCGTCGTTCAAGTAAGTTTTTCTTCCTTTAACGCATTATTATCAAGATTTTTCACGTTGAAACTAAACATATTTTCAAAAGAGGAATATTCTTTTTTCCTGTGTGTAAGTCCGACGCATGTTTTCATCGTTGCGCGCAACATATTTTGCAACCAACGAGCGATGAAACAGCAGAGCTAAAGGCCTGTGTCCACGAGGGTAGCACTTGGTCCAAGTTCTAGTTTCGAGGAATGTGTAGCCAATCAACTAGCAGCTGTTCCATAAAAGCTGCAAGTTGATTGGCTACACATTTCTCGAAATTAAAACTTGGATACGGTTCTTGGATCGTGGACACAAGGCTTTTAAGACCTGTGTCCACGGTGTTAGAACTTGGTCCAAGTTCTATAGTTTCGAGGAATGTGTAGCCAATCAACTAGCAGCTGTTCCATAAAAGCTGCAAGTTGATTGGCTACACATTTCTCGGAACTAAAACTTGGATACGGTTCTTGGATCGTGGATACAAAGCTTTTAAGACCTGTGTCCACGGTGTTAGAACTTGGTTCAAGTTCTAGTTTCGAGGAATGTGTAGCCAGTCAACTAGCAGCTGTTCCATAAAAGCTGCAAGTTGATTGGCTACACATTTCTCGGAATTAAAA